CATAGCAATGGCATGGAAGAGAGCATGCGCATCAGTGCATGGTTATGCAAGACTCTGCCAAATACTTGCACACAATAATTCTATTGTGCTATCTTTCAAAAATAATACCTAATGTCCTTGACATATTCAAGGATCTGATTAAAATTTGTTTTCCTCCCAATGGTTTCTCTCCATGCTGCTCCCATGCAAAAGCGGGTGCTCCCAGCCTCCTTTGCCTGAGCGGAAATAGATCAGAAGAAATAATGTGAAATGATATTACAACCCATAATTTTCTGAACTAAAGCTGAAGTCCTCAGTCTGTAAGAACTCATGTTACCACTTCGCAAGATTTTTAAAAACAACAACATAAATGAACTTGGTCACCTTGAGATAAAGTTACAAAAACAGTACCTTTTTTGCTGCTTCTAAGACAGCATCTTTATTCATTAATTTTTGTGCCTTCAATCCTGTACTGTATCTTGAGGACTGGGGGCAGTATGAACAATCTTCGCTGCACCCACCTGTCTTTATTGAAAGAAGAGTGCACTGTTGCACTTCTCTGAATTTATGGACACTTCTATGGACTTGAGCCTATAGAAAATGCAAGCATTATCTGGTTAAATGAAAATACATTGCAATTGAGAGCTATTTCCCTATTGACTAATGTGAAGGCTGGACAATAGTTTTCCTTCCCCTTTGAGGCTTTGACTAAAATGATCAACGAAAAGCTTGGGAAATATGTTCAACATATAACCAACAGAGATGCACTAAGCTAATAATGCGACTAAGATATGCATTTGAATGAATGCTGACAAGCTATCGTGCATCAAGCCAGTCAGATCGTTGCAGATTGTTGTGACCAAACATGTTTGATATGGGCCATTCATTACTCAAGCTAAATTTGCAATATCAAGTCCGAATTGTCTGAAGCCCCTATATGGGAAATCCTTAGCACCAATTTCCAGATTATAAATGCCCTTGAGGGCATTACTTCCTATTAATACTAGAGCTTGACCAAGCAAAAGCTTAGCCTCAAATCCATATGAGCACATTGTAATTTCTTGATAGCATAGGGATAGTACACATCATTTCAAGTTTTTTCCGGAACAAACACACAAATTTAAGCACTAGTGATTGTACATAACGAAAAAGCTAGCACCTGCTATAACAACAGTAAACAAATAATATCCCCTGAATGTTAAAGCCTTTCCAGTTGGTGCTTAGCATTATGCTTTGCGTCAATCATCACTTCCCACAGTTCAGCGATCCTAAGTGGCAAATCTCACCCAACACCAAGTACAAAATCCGCACTAAGTTTGGTGTGAATAATTGGTAGTCCCACTACTAAAAGGCTCTAGTATGTCATAAGATGCTAATCACTATCATGTATCAGAACTTCGGTGACAGATTAGTATCATCTTACTACTAATTCCAGGCAGTGCTAGCTGGACATGGACGCGAGTCTACCTGATGCTATAGCCATAATATTAGATATTTGACTAAAAGTAAAAAAAAAAAAAAAAAGAAGAGAAGTATCCACTACTCATCATCCCAGATGCCACCAAAAAAAGGATGTTTATCGAGAACTACATCCACCGTGAACCAGGATCCACAAAGTAAAAAAGTTTATCTTGGCATCACTATTCCCCCGGCTGCTACTACAGGAAGCCCACCAATTCATTCTTCTCCCATTCTTTTTCACTAGCAAAAAGGGAGCATTTCTCAAGCACATCTAGAAACAAAGAAAGGCATCGCATTCGTTGCTCCTCATCTACTCTCTCACACTCCTAATAATAAACTTCCCTAACGGCAAGGAATAACTACAGATTGAAGTCGAAGGCCGTAAATAATAAAAAAAGATTACCAATCAAGCGAGCACACATACACAGACAGAACAAAAAAAAAAAAAAGAGAGAGGAGAGATTGGGATGGGTACCCCGTGGAAGAGGAGGTCGAGGAGAGGGGAGTCGTAGACGGCCTGGATCTCGGGCCGGCTCCAGTCGTTCCTGGGCCCGTCCCGTACCGCGCGCTCCGCCTCCGCCGCCGCCGGCGACGGGGCCGACGAGAACGCCGCCGTCGACGCCGCCGCAGCAGACAGCGGCGGGCAGCGGAGGCGGGAGCGGAGGACGGCGCGGGCGAGCAGCATCATGGCGGGGAGCGAGCAGTAGAAGATGGGGTGGTGTAGTTAGGCGATACGGCCGAGGAGTTTTCTACTCCTACTTGAGACTTGTGAGAGCTCAGGCTTTGGCTTTGCTGCTGAGAAGAGACCACATGGGGTAATCGGCGGATTTCATTTCAAAACGTGATTAAGGATTCGGCTTAAGGTTATTATAACCTAAATTATTAGGACTAATCTGAAACAAATCTTTATATTGTTATGATGAATTATTATAATCTAGAAGACATGTTAGTATACTCTGGTAAGCTTTTCCAAAGGGAAGGAAATGGAAAAGATTTAGAAGTACGTAAAAAAATGTAAACCATTAGCCTATGACTTTTTAATACTCAATTGAGTATTGATTATTTAGAATTTAAAGAATAGATCAATATAATATTTAAAACAATCTTTCTATACATTTTTTTAAAAAAATATCATTTAACAGCTCGACAAATGTGCACGTGAAATACAAGAGATTTTTTTCCCTCTTTGCCCCCTCTATCAAACACAGTCTAAATCATCAATGAACAAGTGAAAATGAGTCAAAATCATTTTATTTCTGTGGGTTAAAACCGACTGCGATTAAACCTTAAAAGTCAGATACTACGAGGAGACGGAGACGTGAGTTGATGAAGGGGAAAGGGACATCTGAGTGTCTGAAGTGTGTAGTTGAGCTACCATGGTGCCGGCTTCGCAGTTGCTAGGTCGATCTACCACGATTGATGGTCAAAATTATTTGGGTTGTTACTTTTACAGTGTTACTTCACCTAAAATATAGTAACTTAGAATTGATAGGAATACATCATAGTACTTCGTATTAGAATTTATCCATTCCAATCTTATATTACTATATTTTGAAATGGAAACGGAAGGAGCAGTTGAGATGAATTTCTGACGAAGACGGAAGCAGTAGGCTTACTGTGAGTCTGAGAGACTCTGAAGCTAGGCCCATATGCCCTGAAAACGTACGTGTGTTAGGCCCGTGGTGCGATCTGTTCGAACCAACAACCAAGCGGCCCATCTCACTAACGGGCTGGACCGTGACACGTCACCAACAACGCAGGTGGAGCTGGAGCAAGGCCCATCAGATAGAGGGTAAGCGGTGGGTAAGCGCGGTTGGTAGAAACAGGAAGGCAGACAGCGAGTTTCTTCAGATTCAGAAAACCGAAAACCAACAGACACAAGAAGCAGTGTTTTTCAGTGTAAAAGTAGAGATATTGGAGCACTGTTATCTTATCAGTTTTCAGTTCACAGAGCAACATGAAAAAAAGAAGAAGGCCATGTTTAGTTTTCCTCCTATTCCTAACTTTCCATCACATCATATCACATCAAAAACTTTTCTACACACATAAACTTTTAACTTTTTTTTTTTTTAATTCTCAACTTTCTTCAAACTTTTAACTTTTTTCAGGAACTAAACACACCCGAAGAAGGAGAAACCACGAGAGAGAGACACGGCGTGGTGGATCTTTGTGGCGATGGAACGCTCCAAACGCTTTTTGGCATGAAAGATTGCACAGCACAATACGAGTACAGCTTTGGGGTTGGGGGTGGGTCAAGAGGGGAGAGCAGATTCCCGGCGAAATGTCTCTGTTCAAATGATGAAAGCTATATAGGCCTCACCGTCCGTCCGTCTCTCCGTCAGTTCACTGTCTATCTGAAACTCTGAAAGTTCATCCTTTCTTCTCCCCCAACAGGCAGAGTTCATGAATGTGTATGCATCTATGGCCTTTTCATTGTAGTATCATGCTAATGGTGCTAGTAGCATCTGTCACTGTCGGGTGTGCTAATGGTTTCACATCAAGAAAAAGGTCGAACGGTTTGGTTTGGTTTTTTGCCACAGGAATTTACTCGTGTGACTCTCTTACTGAGAGGTAAGTCAGACATGCTGGTGGATGTTTCGCAGAGGTTTTTTGACTAATTGGTTGCTTGCTTTAACTTTGTAACTGTGTTTTCGTTGAGGGTTGGGGCTATCTATGTGCATCACTCAGATAATTTTAAGGTTCCATTTGAATTCTGGGGAGACTTCAACCGTATCAACAACAAGACACCTATGATAACTTCATCAATTTTAAAATATACCGATTCAAGTTTTTGGAGGCATTTATAAAGGTAGGATGCATGTTAATAGAGATAAAGGCGCACGCGTTGTGAGCACCTACATTTGTACCATGTTTAGTAAAAAAAATGTATTTTCCAAACCATGGCCTTGTTCACTTTATATCATTTTCAACCTTACCAAATTTATCAAAATTTTGGCAGGATTTCTTATATAGTTACAAAAATTTGACAGCAAACTAAATATAGCCCTTTTTTTTAGTAACTTTACTAAAATTTGGTAAGGTTGAAAATGTCATCAAAGTGAACAGGCCCCATATATCCCTATAGTCACCTCTGGCCACATCACCACCCTGATCTGTCATCTTATTACTACAAATTAAATTTGCTTGAAATCCTCTTTTATTTCAAATCTTTTTTGTTTATCTAAAGCTGAAGGTTTAAAGTTTACATGTGGCAATCGCATATCCAGAGGGTGTGTTTAGTTCACGCTAAAATTAGAAGTTTAGTTGAAATTGGAACGATGTGATGGAAAAGTTGAAAGTTTATGTGTGTAGGAAAGTTTTGATCTGATGGGAAAGTTTGGAAGTTTGAAGTCAAGTGGCGTAAACCGTTTTTGTCGCCTGCAACGCATCCAAAACCAACCTCCAAAGTCCAAACAGCTCAACACAAAAGCGGCGTCAAGTCAGGAAGGAAAGAAGGATCCGACGGCCCAGATGGCCCCCGCACGATTCACGAGACGTCAACCTCCATCACCAACCCTCCGATCCTCCCCAATAATTTCCCCCCGCGCCAACCTAATCTCCTACTCCCTCCCTATCATCCACGACTCCCTCACTCCTCAACGCCATATCCAAATCTCCCGCGAATCCCTCCAAAACCCAACCATACATTGCACGCGCTCGCGCCACGCGAGAGCCGAGAGGTTTGCGCCCTTGCAGTTGCGGGGTGGGAGGGGAGAATGGCGCCGCCGCTGCTGCCGGCGGCTGAGGAAGACGGTGGTTGCGTGGCGAGGTGGATGCGGAGGGATGTGCTGCTGGGGCTGGCGCTGGGGCAGTTCGTGTCGCTGCTCATCACCTCCACCGGCTTCTCCTCCTCCGAGCTCGCCCGCCGAGGTGATGATGACAATCTTATCTGTTGGTTTGGATGATCGTATCACTGCCCTACGAAACAGCGAATTTCCTATCATACCTCTCCTGTTTTTTTAATTTTTTTCTTTGTTCTGTTTAATTGGGGTAGCAGTAGTTTGTTACGATTGGCTCTCTGTTGGACGGTGGAGACATCTCGTTCTTTCCGTGATAAAAAGTTTCGGATTTCTTTTTTTCACTTTTTTTGATGAGGTAATTAGTTCTAGGAGGAAAAAAAAAAGATTACCCTTTTGACTTCTCGAGTGGTGCAGCGATGGAGAAGGAGAACACAAAGATTCGGGATTGTTCCTGCATCTTTTGTGTTGTTGCTCTGCAGAGCCTTTGCTAGACAGAAAAGATAATTCTTGGAGCCTTTCGATTAAATTATGGCGTCTACTGCCTTTCAGGGGCTTTATGCATCATCTGATGTCGTCAAGGTTCTCCTCTTTTAGTTCGTGTTTTTTCGTTTAACAAAACTGCCAGGGGAAAAAGATGAGTGTTTTTAATTAGTGTCAGTTAGTTTGGATGTTGCCATGTCAGTTCAGAAGGTGCCATGGAGCATCAATTTTAATTTAGTAAACACAAGGGCCAAATTTTCAACATAATATCTCATTGCTGAAATGATTTTTTTTTCAGGTATCAATGCACCGACATCTCAGTCTCTGTTGAACTACATCCTTCTCTCCCTTATCTATGGAGGTATACTCATCTACCGGAGACAGCCCCTCACGGTACGTTCCACATCCTCTGTCCTCAATCTCCAGCAAAATTTTGTACTCTGGTTTAGCTCTCAACTTTTTCTTCAAACTTCCAACTTTTCCATCACATCAAAACTTTCCTACACACAAACTTTCAACTTTTCCATCACATCGTTTCAAATTTTGGCATGAACTAAATACACCCTCGATCTCCAGCAAAATTTTGTATATAGTTGTCATAGTGAAATGTTGGATGAGCATTTTTCAGACATGAAATTGTTCAGAAACGTACAGAATCTGGAGTCCTGGACTGTTGCTCTTAGCTATAAATGTAGAGTTCAGCACATGGGCAGCCTTTAGTTTATTCTTTTTTACTAGTTGATAGCAGTTTGGTTTGCATTGTTTTCCTTCTGCACCGTTGATGATTGTAGGCTGCAAGATTGGCATATCTTATCTTTATAGACAGGACCTGTGATTGCTGCCTTTATCTACATGTTCGATGAGACTGATGCTTATTCTGATTCTGCTCTTTAGAGTTTGTACTTTGTAGACTAGTATTTTGGTTTTTGGCTGGCACAGCCATGTGAAATTATCTAGGATAATGATTGGAAGTTTTCCATTTCTTCCGTGCAGATAAAATGGTACTACTATTTGATCCTTGGGATTATTGACGTGGAAGCGAATTATATAGGTATGTAGCAAAAAGAAGCAAAAAATAATAGACTACTTTTATCACTTATGTGTTAATGTAAATTCTATTTAATAAAATGGCATGTTTTTTGTTTTTGGAAAACATGCGAATCTCTTGTTGTTTAAACAGTTGTGAAGTCTTATCAGTACACATCTTTGACAAGCGTGATGCTCTTGGATTGCTGGTCAATTCCTTGTGTGATTATTCTTACATGGATATTTTTGAAGACCAAGTATGGGCTCAGGAAGTTCATCGGTGTTGGAGTTTGCGTGGCTGGACTTATATTAGTAGTATTTTCAGATGTCCATGCCTCTGATCGAGCTAGTAAGGACATAACTTCTCATGATGCAATTTGTACTAGTTACAGCAATATATACTTTTTATGTTTTTCTTTTCACAAATTCTGATCAGTGATCAGAATATAAGTACAGTTTCTGAAATGTATTGCAGAAGGACCCAACCCTTTGAAGGGAGATTTGCTCGTAATCTTTGGTTCCATGCTTTATGCTTGCAGCAATGTTACAGAGGTAAGTAGCAACTCTTATCATTCACAAGTCACAAAGTATTTCATTTCACCTTTCCTCATTTGCATGTGGCAACTATCTGATTGCATATTGGCATGATCTAGAGTCAACAGGGCATGAATATATTTATCATTTTTTCTCTCTAATATTTCAGGAGTACCTGGTCAAGAAAAGCAACAGAATTGAGTTGATGGCAATGTTGGGACTTTTTGGAGCTATTATCAGTGGAATACAAATGTATCCTTGGACTTAATCCATCTATTTAATTTGATATTTTCTGTTAAAGCACTCCCTCTTTTTACTTACATTGGAAGCAATTCAGTAATCAGCATCTTTGTTACTTTAGTATATCATCTCATCGTTCCTGATAGATTGATCACATTCGCATAATTCTCTACTTTTTTTTTCTTTGTAACTGCTGTACAGTACACCCTGTAGTTTTTCCTTGACATGGCTACAGAAGTATACTTGAGCGAAAAGAACTTCATTCAATCAAATGGAATGCTGGCGCAGTAAGTCTCCATCCTCCCGATTTGCACATGACACTTTTTTTGAGCTGTAGTAGCCATGATGGAACTTCAGACACTTTTATCTAAGCCCTTCAACTCTGTTTGATATAAACAAACAGCAAAATGGTTTCAATATTTGGCAACTTACAAAAGCATTTTATGAAAACACTGTGTGATCACCCAACCGAACCATTCCAATGCTCATGCTCATCTGCTTGAAATCTACCAGGGTAATTTCGGAATGACATTTTTTGAATTTTGAACAAATTTGGACTGATCTCGAATATTTTTTGTTAAATTCAGAAAAAAAAGAAATTTTCAGGAGGAATAGTTTCGTGTGTGCACTTTTTCTGTTGGAGGGGGGAGGGGGTTCAAAAATTTCATAAATTTCGAACCAAAATTGCAAATCCAGCTTTGATCTCCTTTCAAGCATGTTCACTTTATTGCCATTTTCAACCAACTAAACATTTCTTTACCAATGCCACTGTACCAAAATTTGGTAGTTCCGAAACTTTCCTCTCACAGAACACTACCAAATATTTGAAAGGCATCAAACTAAATACATCTAACGCTACCAAAATTTGGCAATGCCAAAACTATCCAAAATTTGGTAATGTTAAAATTGACAACAAAGTGAACAATGTCTGCTGGCAATTGGTAAACATTAATTTTCCTGGCATGACCATTTCTACTATTTTTCTCAGGTGCTTCCTTTTCTTGGATTCGCATTAGCGATGTTCCTGTTCTACTCAACTGTACCTACAGTACTGAAGGTATTGCACATTGCTGTGCTTTTTACTGATATAGAAATTACTGACTAAATTTCAGAGATGACGACCTCGCAATTACATGATAAAAATGGTGTCAATGAACTCGCATCTATCATCTATGTTCCATTGCTTATCGTTGAGTTGTCTGTTGCAGATATGTGGGGCAACGATGCTGAACCTCTCACTGCTGACTTCAGATATGTGGGCTGTTCTGATCCGCATCTTTGCTTACCATGAGAAGGTCTGCACTCTGCACATTCCTTTCACTAGACATGCTGGTCGGTTCTTGAACTGAACGGTGTTCTTTGCTCATGGCCAGGTTGACTGGATCTACTTCGTTGCCTTCGCCGGCACAGCGGCTGGCCTCCTCATCTACTCATACAAGTATGCTTTAAGCTGTCAATTGCTGCATCCTGACATGCCTGCATAGCTCTGTAATCTTTTACCATTTCGCTTGATACTGAGAGCTCTGATACACGCAGGAGCTCCAAGGAGGCAGAGGAGACGGCGCAGGTCGCCGGAGCTAGTGACAAGCAGGGCAAAGCGGGCGATGAAGAGGCCGGAATGCAGAACTCCTCGTGAATTGAAGCTCCGGTGCCTGCATCTGCATCGGCATCGGCACGATCTCTCTCTAACAAGGGATCATCGTTAACTGCGTGCGAGTACACGTACTTACAGGGAAATATGTTAGTTGTTGATGAATTAACATCAGGTTTAGTGCGGGTGGAGTGAGGGAGGACAGGCAGTAATTGATTGAGCAGATGGGTAGAAGAGATCAAACGATGGACTGAAGGAGCCGAACTGAGGACCAGAAAAACTGGGCAGGAAGCTTTCCTCACCTTTTATTATTTTATAAAATATATACATCAATAATTTTACAATAAATAGATGTGCCAATTTCTTTTGTTTTTGTCTTTGCAACTGGCAGTGAAATGGCAATGGTATTACAAAGTTTCACGAGGAAACTAAAACTTATACACTTAAAGCGAGTGGTACATGAGGAGACAAAAGGGAGTAAAACTTAATGCTGAAATTTTCAGAATTATAGATAATTATGAAACGCTACTTGAATGATACAATGCCACATATTTGAGTATGGAGGGAGCGACTTCTATGCATAACCAGTACAGTTTTTTTTTTTTACCAAGGCTGTGTTTAGATCCAAAGTTTGGATCCAAACTTCAGTCCTTTTCCATCACATCAACCTGTCATACACACACAACTTTTCAGTCACATCATCTCCAATTTCAACCAAAATCCAAACTTTGGATCCAACTAAACACAGCCCAAATCACCCGGGGGGGGGGGGGGATTCCCCACCTGAATTTTGTCATTGCATTGAAAGGGTGAAAGGGAACGGACAAGGTTCATTACATAGTGTGAATAGATTGTAAGGGGGAGTACAGTTTTGTATTACAGAATCCTTAGATTTGGTCTGGGCTCGATCATGTTAAGTTGCTGCTGTAGTTTTTTCTTGAATTCAGTGTAGTAGTAACCCTGGAGCGAAACTTCCTTCAGTGTTGCAAGATTTTCTATCCCAGGAAACCCAGCTTCGTCTATGGACGAACAATGGTCCACCAGTAGCACCTCAAGTTTAGGGGTCGCTCCTTCTTCAAATATCACTGATTTGAGGCTACCCCACGAAATAAGCTCCAGTGCCCTCAGATTTGTGAAACAATCGGGATGGAAACGTAGTTCATTCTCCTTGCACGCCTTGTCCTGGAGACGTAGAATGTCGAGCATTGGTAGGCCTCCGAGCACTTGCATGGTAGCATCCGCCTCCAGATTCGTGCTCCGAAGGCTCAATTTTTGTAGATTTTCAAGCTCCTTAACCCATTCGGGTAATTTCACCAGATTTCCATACAACTGGAGGCTCTCAAGGTCTTTTGGAGGGGGGGACAAGCCATCCAAACAACCTTCTAACCCATCCTTACCCTCCGCCCGAAGTAATAAGGATTGTAAGCATCCATGTTTGACGATGACAGAACAGAGTTCTTCGCAGTTATTCTTGTTAATGCCAGTTACGCCTAGCTTTCGCAATTGGGTAAGCTTTTTGAGGTTCTTCAGCATGGCCTTTCCCCGTGAAATGTTGACGACGCTCAGTGTGTGAATGGACCTCAATCGTCCAATTCGTCTTGGCACTTTAACACCAAACAGATCCATATTTCTCAACCAACCACTGATCAAAAACATGAGTACTGATACAAATAACTTGATTCCCATCCCAACCTCTTCTTGGTTTGTCCAGTACTCACGAAATGCCTCTAAAATTGCCGATGGCGGAGTCGGAACCCAGCTTCTGGTGTCATCCTCATCATCTGGTGGCATGCCAGCATGGAGGTATTTCAAGTTTTGTAACCTACCAATGGTTGCTGGCAACTTTGTAACCCATGTTCCCCTGATATCTAGTGTCTCCAGGTTCAACAGATTACCAAAGGAACTTGGAAGATTGAGGATTGTTGCAGATCCTCTTAGAGACAAGTACTTTAAATGATGAAGCTTTCCAATTGGCACAATGTCATGATCCTCAAGACCATCTGTGTCTTCTAAATCAAGTACCCGAAGCATCCTCATCTTCTTAGAAAGGAAAAATGATTTCCACTCCCCAAAGACTGTCAGAGATCGTATATGCGAGACATCCACTATATTTTGCATATCATTGTTCTTCTTCTGTTCTCTGCTCCAACTCTGGCTTATAACAAGGTGTCGTACTTTATCTTTAGAGCTCGAGATGCTGTGTTCATCTAGAACAAGAACAAGATTTTCTTCTTCAGACTTTGCAATGCTGATTTCACGCATCAGATCGTGGACTTGGCAGAAACCTGTCTTCCCGGTGGTAACTGTTCTTGACTGTTGGATCATGCTCTTGTTGAGAAGGGCTGTAAACTGTTCCTCCGCTTCTTTCTCAGCATTATTGTTTCTCTTTGCTCTTGAGTAACCCTCTGCAATCCACCGCCTCAATAACCGTCCATACCTGATGTCATGGTCTTCAGGGAAAATCGACAGATACAAAAAGCAAGACTTAAGGTGGTATGATAAACCCTCATAGCTTGAGATAAGTATTTTCTTTATCATCTCGAGACTTGGGTTCTCATCCAATTCTGTACTGATATGGTCACTGAATTTTCTCCATTCCCTAATGTTTGGGGGTCTTGTGGACAGAAAACCACCCACCGCCACAATGGCAAGGGGAAGCCGGCCACACTTCTTTACAATGAGTTCTGCTTCTGCTATCATGTCAGGGTTTTTCTTGAGGATGTCCATCATGTCAGGCTTCAATTCAGATTCATCCCCTTTCTTACATACCTGCCATTAATGTCACTTAACAAGTTAAACACAATATATGAAGATCTCTCTTTCTCGCACAAGAAACTTTTACTGGTTCATCTTTTTTTTAATAAAGCCCCAGTTGAAAATCTGAAATCTTAGTTAACTACCAGAAGATTTTATTGTAATCTTTAAAGGGGAAAATATAAGAATTCTAAACTACGGATGATGCTCAAGGATTAAAACCAAGGATCATATTTAAGAGAGCCATCGGCCATTAATAAACCAAGGATTCGTATAAAGAGGTTAACCAAGCAGTATTGGGCACCCTAACTCGATGGAAGAAGCCAAATTTTGTTGTCCAATTGCTTGAACTCAAACAACGTAGGCCAAAAAGATGATATTTAAACTCAATAATTATTATATTATTATATATAATTAACCAGAACATTTTATTTATTATTTTTCTCAATCTAATAATTCCAAAATATATAACTAATAATTAATAAATAAAAGCTAAACTTGTCATGAATCCTAATTTGTAGTTTTTCCTTGATTAAATAGTTTCAAAAATCACTAACATACTCCCTCTAGTCATATATATTTGTTCTTTAGAACAAGATTTGGTCAAATATTGACCATCAATTTTAATTAGATCAAGCTGATGAAATCAAATAAGATTACCATATAATGACGGTATGTTTAAAGACAAATCTATGCGTACATTTATTTTATCCTTATAAACTAAGCATTTGTGATGTTAATGATGGTCAAACTTTCAAAATTTTGTTCGAAAGTTTGACCAAATAGTGTACTAAACAATAAATATTTATGCGAGGAAGGAGTATATTAGAAAGTTGTACCTGTTTTGGAGTCTTACTTGTAGTTTTTCATGACTAATTAAGTACTAAAGTAATAAGCACAAATTTTCACTCATCATGAAATCTGAGTTTTAGTATTTTCTTACTTTAATAATTCTTGAAATTCAAAATAAATACTTAGTAATTTCTATCTAATGAGGGATCATAATCAATAAATATAAATTTGAAGTTGTCCTTGGTTTGAAGCATTAATTATTGTTTGTTGATAAATTAATCCTACCTTTCTATAAAGTTACAACCCACCATATCCATAACTCAATTTGCAAATATGCAATATCATCATCTACTAACAATTATTATATCTTAAATTCACGCAACCATGCTATATTATCTATAATTTATTGAATTTTAGAGCTTTAAAATACCAGCATGTTAAATCATCATCCCACATAATTCACATAATATTTTAATATATATATCTCCATTATTTTTATAATATGCTATGTACCTATATAGTTCATCCTCATTTACCTAATATCATTTCTCTCTTCTCTGATTAAGCCATATCACCTCAATTGTTTCTAGACCTTAGATGATTAATCTATGGTACAAATTATCTCCCTCTTTTTCTTCTCTCATCAAGCCATATCACCTCAATTGTTTCTAGCTCTTAGATGATTAATATATTGTCTAAATTATCTTCCTCTTTTTCTTCTCTCATAAAGCCACATCACCTTACTTTTATATTTGGATCATCATTCTATATACTATTTAAATTATCATAAAGCACATCAACTTATATAAGTTTATGTCGTCTAGCTATTTTACACATTATTTTTACTTGTTATTATCATATTAAACTTCTGAAGCAACGCGTATAGTTTAACCTAGTTTATATATTAGGAATGACGATGCAAAGTTTTCAAGATTTAATAATTCAAGAATCTAGAATAAATAACTATGAGGTTTTACCTCTCTTGGACTCACAATTTCGTAACTTATTAATTTAGTTCCGAAACTTAAAATTGATAATTAGAAAGTTGTAACCAGAGGTTACACTTTCAATTGAACACCGAAGGGTGAGTATCATCGAAATAGTGAAAATAAAAAAAATCGAGAGAATTTCAAAAACAGAAGATTGAAGTTGGAGGGTGAAATTTGTTGGAAGATGATCGAATTTGATTGAAAAGCGTTGAATTTTGATTGGCCAAATTGAAATTTAGTTTTTTTTCCTAGCAAAAATGAAAGGGAAAATTGATTGAAAAAGTTCGGAAGCATATCAGTTGTATGCAAAAGTCTCTCGATTATTTGGAAATGGGAAATAGAGAAAAATGTTCAGAATTTATAAAAATAGTGCAAAAATATCCGATAAAATGTATGAAAGGTGTGGATAAATATATATCCCTCTGTGTTGGTTAAACGGGCCCAACATTTATGGAATTTCGGCCTATTGTGCCTTTTTTATACAATATTGGTTGTATGATTGAGGTTCAATATATGTAAATTCAATATTGTTTTAGAAAAATTGATAATACCAACATATTATAACGGATGGAGGAGTATATCCCCTCAATTTCAGTTAAATGGCTGATCCTTTATGGGCTCTTTGGTCCTTTGTGCCTTTTTTTAAAACTATATAGCTCATTCTTAGGTTCAAATAGACAAGTGATTCAATATTTGTTAATAATACCATATAATTTATAGGATTTTTTTTAGTATTTTCAATTCACTTGTTTTCATAACCATTTGAATTTCAATTCAAAATCTCCTTCTGAACCAGCTCAAAATCTAGAAATTTCACGAAAATTGTTGAAATTGCAAACCCTGGATGTAATCGATGCTGGCTTTTCTTTTTATATATTCTATAGTTTGGTCCTACTTTGATAGGTGGCAGATTTATTGAATATTATCCAATTAACACAAGAATTTTTTCGGTGTACCCAATTAGCATAGATATAAATATGATATGGATACAAGCCATGTTAATCATATTTCCGTTACACATACATTTCTTACTAAACCCACAGATAAATCCTTTAGGCACACACCAATTTTTGGCTGATAGAATTGTATCCGCTCTCATAGGAAGACAAAGTATTTATTTTTTTTAAAAAAAGTAGAACTGGAATTACACAAAACATCAATAATAGGTAGTTTAAATACAAACTTGGAAAAAACATATATTTGTTAGAACTATGACCAAAGTTTTGAGAAAAAACAAAACTAACTTCCATGTTAGATAACTATTTGTTGGTACAATTAATTTAGTACTAGCAAGTAATCGTGGATGTTGGTTTAAACATAAATGTTAAGATAAATTTGAAAAAAAAGTTAAATTCATAAAGAGTATATAATATTGTTGTAATTACCTTGTAATTACCAAATAAATATATTAAGAACTAAAATCATAGTTCAGATTTAGCGAATCATATCTATGTTAAACTAGGTGCTACACATTAATATGAAGATCAGCATCAACAATTGCTTTATTGAAATATGTAAACAGACATACATACATGCATGCATAAATGATTTGTAGTTGAACTTCAACATGGTATTCATTTAGTGGTAGATTGGAAAAATGTTAATTAATTGAGTTCAAAATATATATATATATATATTTTTTAGGGCAGTGCAAAAATATATTTGAGATTTGCATGTGTAGACTAAATTATTATCATCTCTTAACAAAAAAATTTACTTACAAAATACATAAAAATTCAACCAAATTATTATGTGAAATTTTACTGTACACTGAATGTATGCCATGTCTAATTTTAAAATATTGTTTTTAAAAAATAAAAAAAAAATTGCCTGGACAAACTGCAAAACGTAAGGACATATATATGATTATTCAGTTATCATTGATGTACAATCAAACTACTCCTTCCAGTCACAAATAAGTGATTTTTTAGACAATGACATGGTCATTAGTACAAGCATGTTATTAGTAATTACTTATATAAAATCTACTCCCGTCCCAAAAATATAACATTCAGAAGATAAATTAAAAGAAAAGGAACATGACCTAAGATGCCCTCATTAAATTAGAGATGATCGGTGGTGGGCGGTTGGTCAGAGATAAAATGGGGAGAAATCTGAATGAGTGGTGATTGAAGGGGAAAGTATTACTCCAGAATATATATATTTTTGACAAAATTTGAATGCTAGAGTTGCATTCTCTTTGGGATGGAGTATAAAATAATATAGCAAAGTGGTAATATTTTTAAACTATTTTAAAGATAAGTTTTTCAAAAGTTGAATCAAAGCAAATATTCATAGCAATATTAATGGTCAAATTTTGAAAACATTGATTTTCACGTGTTTCAAAGCATCACTTATTTGTGATTGGAAGGGAAGAAAATGTAGTGGCGTATATGGTTACTCACTTATTATTACCATTGATGCACAAGCACAATCTTTTCAACTCGACAGTATGTTGTGAGATGCATATATAAGTTGTACAGAGCATGAACTCAAAAGATAAAAATAAGTCATTATACAGGTGGGAACATGTACCTTATCTAAGAATAGATCAAGAGCATCTTTATCTTTTAGATCTCCGATTCTGTGCATGTACTCTTCTTCCTCGGAGCAATGTTGGGCAACCAATTTAGGTCTTGTGGTGACAATGATGCGGCTAGAACTGTTTTCAGGAAAAATTGTTTTTATGAAATCCCACTCAGTAGTAGTCGATAGGTCATCAAGGACAATGAGGTACTTCTTCCCTGTTAAATCTTGCTTCAACTTGTCAATTAATTCTTTAGATCCCATCATGCTTAAACCACTCCTTGCAAGTCCTGGTGTAGATTCTACCTTCTTTCCGGGGGAATCTTTAACCAACCGCTGAGCCAAGATCCTAAGGAGCTCGATACGTCGGAATGGACGCGATACAGGTACCCAAGCACGCCTCTCAAACCCAAGCTTCTCAAGCTCGGAGCTCTGATAGATGCTTTTGACGAGAGTGGTTTTGCCAATTCCACCCATTCCCCACACCGAAATCACCGAAATCACTCGATGTTTCGCATCACAACCAGAATCAAGCATTTTGATAAGTTTATCCTTTTCATTTCTTCTACCAATCATGAGCTGAGCTTCCTCAGCGGCTACCACTGTCCTGCTGCGTTTGGGTACCATTGCCGTGCAGCGTGTGAGTTTCTTCACGGCCGCATTAGGATCTTTGTTGAGAGAGGGTGAACTGCTTTCACGCAGGCCCTCAGGGTGGTTGTCACCGCCAGTAGAGGAACTGGCCATGCTAGGCTTGGTCTCTGAATTTATCTCATTGGAATCTAGACCAACCCACTCAGAGCCCACCTGGGAAAAAAAAAGGGTCAACAGGCAATAAGGTTAGCGATATACTACCACCGTCCCTAAAATATTTAGGATTAGACACAATTGTTGAGAAAAGTATGTGAAATTAAATATGAAAATATTGTGATTGACTGAAAAAATAAAGTAGGTGGGAAAATTAAATGAGCGAATATTGTTATTGGTTAAGCATAGAGTGTTGGTGAAGAAATTATTATATTCTGGAACAAATTTTAAAAGCTAAAAGCTGCGATATTATGAGACTAAGGGGGTACTTCCAAAGGTAAATGAAGTTTAATGACTTTATTTACTACTGTATAGCACCTATAGATCTGGATTATTGTTTCAAAATTAAGATTCTTTTATAGTTGAGTGCACTCCAATTCAGAAATAAGAAATGGTACTCCTAGTTTGGTTGGAGACATGGAGGGTACAATTACAGTAGTACACTCCTATTTTGACTAGGGTTTGAGTAGAGCATATATACCGCAGTTCCATCATTTTGGCTTCCTAGCTTGTAGTTGTACGTGTACTGCTTTTCCCCAGAACAGTATATGGCAACATTGGAATCCTTTGTTGTGACTATGATCCGGCTATCTGCATTGCTCTCAATGGGAAGGCTCTTCCTTATGGAGTCCCATTCTGCATTTGAAGATATTTTGTCGAAAACAAGGAGGCATTTGTGCCCCGATAAAATCGTGGTCAATGAGTTCCTTGTCGACTCGGTGGTTCCCCTTTTTGATTTATTACTACTGTTCTGTCCATCTTCTTGCTGCTTACGATGAGTAGAGCCTTCTGTGTCTTGACTGTCTTCTTTTTTTTTGAGGCAAGTGTCTTCGCAGTTATCTGGATTCAACTGGCGAGCCAACTCCATAACGAGCTCATCATGATTGAATTGAGACGTCATGCCAAACCAAGCATGCCTCAGAAATCTGTCAACAGAGCGCTCATACACTTTCCTCACAAGAGCAGTCCTTCTGACACCATCATTTTCCATTCCCCAAACAGCGATCACCTGCCCACCTTTGGATATTAGATCAATAACTTGGGACTCTGGATCCTTGCGTTCGTTAGGCACAGGTGGGCTTTTTCGACCCTCTGTACTAGCAGTGGCGTTTGAGCTGGACTTTGTCTTGTCAGTTTGTTCGGTTGGAGAGTCCTGAATATATACAAGCAACAATTAGGTAAAACTGTTGTTTCTGTGAACAATGCATTTATCTTAATTTGCAGTGATGAGCATTAGTACCATGTTCTAATGTGTAATTGTGTATAACCATGATGAACAGATACAATTAGCACAGAGCCAGAGACACAAAAGGAAATTAACAGGTTTGCCAGCGGGCGTGTTCAAATGATATACATGTTAGAAAATATGAAATATTATAGATATGCATCCAATCAGAGCAAGTTTAATAGTATAGCCAACTACTAGCTCCAATTAATCTATAGCCAATCTAATAGCTAATTCATACAATAGTTGCATACTACACTATTAATACCTGGTCCCACCTGTCACACAAACACTGTGTCTTGGAGTCCGTGCTACAGATGGCTACAAATATGTAGCCCGCTGCTCTTCTCTCTCCTTATTTATCTCTTTAAAATATGTTTGTGCTATTGTACCTGCCCTTAGTACATATCTACCTCCATCTGGTCCTAACTCTCAATTCGAACTTTTTGCGTGATGCGGGGGAGAGTTAAAGTCTAGGTGTGGTCTAACTAAACGAGTTGGGCCTAAAACCGTTTTCAAGGACATTACACTAGCCCAAACTGATTAGCAAGTGTGTGGCCTAGCCACGCCAGCTAGTGTGTGGCCCTGTTAGCAGACTCTTTGTGTGGGATAAGCCACATGTAGGCTCGTTCGAGGGAGTGCCTCGGGCACGGTCACGGGGAAAGCACAAGAAAAAAAACCCGGAAATGCTTTGGCTTAATATCATTTGTTTCTTATGCTGAAGCAAATTGTTTCATTTGGTAATTCAATTGTGTTTCACTCCTTTTAAGAGTTGAAACATTCTTTTACTAAGCGTTGAAACATTCTTCTATAAGGGGTGAAACAATGACCGATTTTTGGGGAAAATTTGAGCATCTGATTCGTAGTCATTTTGAAAAAAAAAAACCTCGTTGGGTAATACAGTGAACTAGCAGCTGGTTTCTAAAAAATAACATTTTATAGTGAAAACTATACATGACAATATAAATATAGATAGTAATACTAACCTTTACTTCCTCGTAGAAGACGTAAAGAGGTGTGACGAATGACCCTTCCTGTCGAATTTCAGACACCTTGTACCCATCCTTGTTTTTCCAACAGATTGCAACTTCAGCTTGCGGCGTGCACACCAGGATTCGGCTGCCATTATGTTTGTTTGGAAGATAGGTTTTTATCCAGTCCCACTCTTCTATGTTACACAGGCCATTAAGGGCAATCAAATATTTCTTGTTAGCCACATATTTACAGAAGTCGTCAAGCAAGTTATAATCTTTTGCTTCCATCTCGTTCAGAGCCGACACCCCAGAAGGTGTTCCTTGTGGTGTGTTGCTAGTCCCCTCATGGGAGTTTGCTTTAAACTGCCTCACCAAGCTCCCAATGAACTCCTTGGCATCGAAGGGATGCATCACTTTTACCCAAGCATGGCATTCCGGAAATCTGTCCTTCACCTTTTGATAAGCCACCCATACGACGGAAGCCACTCCAGTAGCACCACTTGTTCCCCACACTGCAATTTCTTGAAGGCCATCGCCGTCCTTAGTAATGAGATCCACGAGGTCCACCTTTTCTTGCTGCTTGGCGACACGCGTAGCCTCAATGTCATCGAAGGTGGTGGACTGCAGCTCAGCAGCCGTAAGGGGAGAAGGCTCTGAGGCAGCTGCAGGGCCACCAAGCAGTTTGTACCGCGAGTTTCTCAGGCTGACATCCTCAACCTTGCCTCTCATCTCCTTCATCACGGTGGCGATGCGATGCCTCTCCCGCAGTGTCGTGCAGGAGAGGCGCCTTCGCCACCAGGACGGTTTCTCCAACCGGACAACGTAGTCTTGGAGGCAGTCCTCGACGTCGTAGGCGACGTCACGGACCTGCTTCACCCAAGTCTGGAACACCTCATTGTGTCCCTGCTCTTTGTCTGCAGCACGCAGGAAAGACAGCATCATCTCAAGCTCGTCCTTGATGAAGCCCTGGTCTTGCTGGACGCCGAGCTGCAGAGTTACCTCCTCCGCGATGGCGGATTTGGCATAGCTTAGCGCTCCGTCCAGCACCGACTTCCCCACGCTCACCACCGTTGCTTCCATTGCTACCTCTCCTGGGTTTGTGGGTGTGCTACAATGAATAGCTGGTGCTGATCCGGAAGCCAACGAGGGATTAAAAGGAGGAGCTCAGCTGCAAGACAAAGCAAGCTGACAATCTTTATCAAGACTTGACAGGGATGTACATAAATATGTACCCAAGTCCTAACAAATTGGTTTTGAAAGAAGACTTGATCAGTCATTTAAACTAGTGGGTCGACATGTGCTCAGTCCTAACATAACTAATTCTTTTCTGTCGATCTTTCAAAACAGTGTGGAACAGATACCTAAGTTGCATAGTAGAAGACCTAATATTATTTTAACCGCCCCAACTTCATCCAGATTCCAATCGTGATAAAAATATACTCTATTTCACATTGGTCGATGAGATATACAGTCTCTAATCAACCATTCAAGCAATGATGAAAAAGAAAAAAAAGGATTTTTTCATGTCTTTCTTTTAATTAATTTTCTAAAATTACTTTATTGAAGTGGCATTATAAATTTACTAAAAAAGGGCTATCCTTTGGGGCCTGCTTGAAAGATAACTTTACAGCAACAGCTTATAACCCGAAGATACTATACGTAACCAAAGCAAAAAAAAAAAAGAATAAAAAAGAAAGGATTTAAGGGTGAGGCTAATATATCTCTCTATATATAGGAATGCGTTAAACCGCAACCAGGATGCACTATAACTAAAACGCTCCCCTCACATACAGTCCATCCCCACCCCCCACCCACGCTCCCTCCCCCCACCTCCACACCTTTTCAAAATGGGGCAATTACAAAATTTACCACTACTTTGAATCGTTATTGCAAAACTATCACTAGAATATTGTAAAAATACCACTAGAACTTTTATTCGAGTGGTATTCTTGCAATATTAAAAAAACCAGTGGCAAATTTACAAATGCCTCCAAAATGGGGCAATTTACAAAATAATCATCTAGCAAAATGATTACTAAGCCTTTTTATATGACACAGAACACTATAAGTAATAAAATTACTATGCGTAGAAATCGGATCTTGTACTCATCCCGCACCTTTTCAAAATAAATGTCCAGTAAAATGATTACTAACTATTTATATGTGACATAGTACACTATAAGTAAAAATATTACTCCCATGTTCGTTCTCGCAATAAACACTACTAGAAAAATAATTTATCGCCACGAAAAAAATAGTAGCATCAATACTAAAATTGTGGCAATAGATCAATGTTGCCACAATCTTAAAATCGTTGCTAGCTGTGGTAATAAATAGCGTGGTAATAGGTTATTGCAACGATTTTTATTTAGTTGTAATAAAATTTGATATTGCCATAAAATGGATGTGGCAAAAAATATATATTGCAACACTTCACATGGTTGCAATAAATAACTATTGCTACCATTCCATGTGTGGCATTAGTTATACGTAGCAAACTAAATGTTTTCATATTAACTTATCATCCTAATTATTTTCTTTTGATATCTTGTCTTCTTTTGATATCTTGTCATGTCCAGGATTCAAACCCAAGATCTCTCCCTCATGCACGCTCTCCATGACCAACTCACATACGCATCAATTTTGTTTAAAAATACATACAATTTCATTTGAGACTACCTAACTGAGATTTGAATCATGTATTTGAGTATTTAAAATATTTCAAATGAAAAATTTAAGTTGTAGATCTCATCGAGAGCTATAAATTTCATATAAAATTTGTCCTAATCCGTGTCCATATGAAAAGAATAAGTCAAATTATGAGATGATAAATTTTTTATTGCAACGAATTTATTGATCATGGCAATAGAAAATAGTGAAAAGTACCATGTACTGTGCAAATTGCCACAAAAATTAAATGTGTGGCGATAGAACATGTTTTTTTGCAATAGTAATGTTTTTTTGTGGCGATAGCTCATTTCCTATTGCAACAAAAATACTGAACAAAACAATGATTGTAAATCGTTGCAACAAAGTATAGTTATTTGCCACAGAAAAAATATCATTGTGATAGTATAATATATTGCCACGAATTATTTTTTGTTGTAATAAATTGGTGGCGATAGTTCAATTCTCTTGTAGTGAAATGAATTACTCTTACGTTGTTCTTAGCCCTTCTTTTAGTAAATAAATTACTACTTTATTAGGATAATACTGTCAGGGTTATGGATACCACATATCTAATGATAGTCGACTACATCTCGGCAGGACCCACCACATACCATGTCTTATACGGAAACTGACTTCGAATATGGAGGGAGTTCCGGATAAGGAAAGACAATCAGAGTTCTACATGGAAACGACAAGGACTACTCGGATTGTATCTATATTGGTTTCCCTAGTTCTACTTGGACAAGGGGACACCTATGGGTATAAATACAAGACCCCCTAGGAGGAGAGGGGGGAATCCAGAGACGATCAACATGATCAACACGATTGACACGAGACAATCGACGACCACCTCAATCAACAACCAACACAATATATGGGACAACATACAAGCCAACATACGCCAAGACAAGCCGCCGGATATCGACTTCAGGGATAGGCATGGCTATTCCCCTACGGTTTCTCCGGATGCCGTCAGGAGAGACGAAAGCGCTATTTCTGATCTCGCCGGACACGGATTCGAGGAGCAAGGCTACCCTGTTGTCGACTACGAGTCAGACCTTCAGACCGTCATGTCGACAACAGTTAGATAGGCTACCCCACATATTGTACTGGTGTGATTATGGTGAATAAAAGCAACTCCAGCTCCGGCCAACAGGATGTAGGGTTATTACCTGACAACTCAGGGGCCCGAACCTGTATAAAAATCCTCGTCCCCATCTCTTTTACCTCAGTCTCGCGTATATCCTAGCACCGACGGTCCCCATACTATGCAAATACCAGAATTTCGACGAGATGGGTTTCAAAAGATGGATTCTCCAATAACAAGCTACTTGACGACTTCGGACCCGGGAGCTCCAACCCCGCCAGAGTACGTCCCCCGACGAGATCGGGACCATCGTCGTCAACAATTCGATCTCTCGAGATCGACCAACCTTCAAGACGTCATCGCCGTGGAGGGTATCGGTTCAAAGTTGTCAACCGTGAGGCCTTGCCCGAATCAACTACCTCTGAACCGACATCCGCCGCCAAAAAGTTAGACGAATTATCATCATCGGGCATTGACGACATCCGAGATCAGTCTGACGATTAGCCTATTCTGAGAATCGACGAGGTGTCCTCATCAGATTCAGATACATCGGCCTACATCAGATCGGAGTCAATTACCCGTCGTCAGACCTGCCAACCAAGCAGCCGGCCGACTGCATTGCCATCTACATGTATATTATACATGCATACCGTGGGACCCATGCACATACAGTAACACTTACAATGTACCGAAGGCTATTTTACCTTAGGTACATATGTACGTATGTCAGTGGGCCACCTGTACGTGCCTGTATTATGCGTCCAGAAAAAACAATCCAGACCAGCTACCAAGGCTAATCAAGGTAATTAGTAGATTAATTAATTCAATTAATCTACTAATTCCGTAGATATATCCGGCATATATCTACACAGGTACACAATATTTTATATACAATTTACCGTACCTATCATTCAGATCATACAGCATTGTCAGATCCATGATTTATTATGTTTACCTAGAGCATGTTTTTTATACAATATCTTTTGCACGAGTGTCCCCGATGTTAAATCGACTACGGTCTAACGCTGGGGGCTCGCTCTATTTTCTTCTGTATAAATCATGCTTGTTTACGGTTTACATAATGCCTGATAATTACATCTGCTCGTTATATCCTGATAATACTAGAAGCTACATGCAGTTTTTTGATTACATACTCGATATTCTCTGCTATATGTCTTGCCTTCTAGAAAATATCTTTTAGGAACAATTGAGCACTCGAGTAGGTTGTGGTCGAGTACACTCCATTATCGAAAACATTCTCGACAAATGCAGAGTTATCGTACCCAACCTACCAACGAAGACCGACGACCTATCTCATAGCACCGGCCATGGCTGGACTACTCGAGAAAAGGTTGTTAACAGATAATTCCTCGCGAACGCCGTCGGCTTGATCACCCGACATGATTGTGATCGGATATCCGAATATGCTACAAGTTGGGTGTGTAAGTCATGCTGGCCACATGAGACGCACATGTAATAAACTAACTCTAGCACCTCCATTGGTGTCCGAGAGATAATTCTACTCGCTCGCTGGTTCTCGCACCAGGACGCAGTAATCTCTCGCACCACAACTTCCATTGGTGTCCGAGAGATAATTCTACTCACTCGCTGGTTCTCGCACCAGGACGTAGTAATCTCTCGCACCGCAACTTCCATTGGTGTTCGAGAGATAATTCTACTCGCTCACTAGTTCTCGCACTAGTACGTAGCAATCTCTCGCACCTTAACTTCAGATGGTCGAGGTACGACTACGGCAGCGTAGCAGTCCTTGCACCATGACTTCAGATGGTTGACGAACAGCTGCGACTGGTCTTCGACCGACAGCGTAGCGGTCCTTGTACCACGACTCCAAATGATCGAGAGACACCTACTCACCGGTTCTCAACCAGTTGATCATAGTGATCTCCCGTACATTTGCTTCTAGTGGTCGAGTTACGACTACTACCTAGTCCTCAACCAGCAATGTAGCGTTTCGCCCACTACTTTCACTTTAAGTGGTCGAGTTACGACTACTGCCTGATCCTCGACCAGCGATGTAGCATTTCTCCCACCGCTTCCACTTTAAGTGGTCGAGTTACGACTACTGCCTGGTCCTCGACCAGCGATGTAGCGTCTCTCCCACCGCTTCCACTTTAAGTGGTTGAGTTACGACTACTGCCTGGTCCTCGACCAGCGATGTAGCGTTTCTCCCACTGCTTCCACTTTAAGTGGTTGAGTTACGACTACTGCCTGGTCCTCGACCAGCGATGTAGCGTTTCTTCCACTATTTCCACTTTAAATGGTCGAGTTACGACTACTGCCTGGTCTTCGACCAGCGGTATAGCGACTCTCCTAATACCTCTATTTCAACAAAGTTGATAGCAGGTACACAATATCGCCAAGTGTTTTACCAGAGATCCCTTACCACGACGACACCTAGCGTTGAAACCTATCCTACTGTCCCTTTACGCCGTCTTGACAAGGCCTCTGAGGAACCTAAGGGATCTTCGGCTGGGGACGCCCAGAGCCGATAAGGCCTTGTCGGATCCTTCAGAGACAAAAGACCATGTAAGATCTGGTCGTGTAAGAGTTCTCGCCGTGCGTATTAACCAAGCCGTGTAATCAGAAATGGACTTTCCAACTTCACGGCTGGGGGCTAGGATCAGTGCTTATTCAACCAAGGCAGGTCAAGGGTCCAAGAGCCTTATTCTCTGAGAACGATTCTCCGACGACAAGGCTGGGGGCTAGGGAGAGTGTATGACTCTACAAACTGACTGATCGAAGTCGGTAAGAGAGAAGACGCTCATACACAAAACATTGGTCGGTAATTTAATTCATTTTCAATTTACCATACATTTTCAATTTAATTCAATTTCCCACAGTAAATAAATTACTTAAGATGGTAAGATTAGTTGATGTGCATGAAGTATACATGAAAAACTTATGTGCATAGAATATAATCCTTTTTAGGGATGGTGAGAGTATTTAGTTTTGTTGTTTTAGCCA